AAGGCTGGTGGGTTTCAGGTGACCCTTCCTGAGTGCTGGCCAGCCTTAGGTGGGGTGGCCAACCATCCCGGTGTTTTGCCGGGGACTTTTCCAGCTTTAGCACTGCAAGTCCTGCTTCCTGGGAACTCTCCAGTCCCAGGCAAACTCACCTTTTGTCCTTATTGGTGATGGTGACCCATCTGGGCCCAGTGAGAAACCTACCAGGCAAAGGGATTGACATGAATGGAAACCCCTGACCAATCCCATGACATCGGGAAGGCTGACTGTGGTGTGTTTGGATCCTTCTAGAAACCAGACAGGATCGTACAGGTGTCTTACCTCCAAGGTGGATACATGGTAAGAAGGTTATAATTAGAGGTGACTACAGGGGCCATTAAACACAGTTTGAGTGAAGGATTTAACGAGAGGCTAAGGGAAAGTGTACCATCCCTTCGTTTGGCTTTCCCAGAGATGGGCCCTCTACCCCACTGCTGCTGAACTCCCGAGGAACCCATGGGGGCACGAAGCAGATGCTGCGATCTGGTGGCCCAGCTATGTTGGCACAGCTGCAGCTTCCCACTCGCCAGCCAGCAGCCTCTCTGGTCCTCTGCCTGAGGGTCCTCTGAGCACCCTAGAGTGTGCTCCCCAGTGTATGCACAGCCCAGGCGTGGGGAGTGAACACCCCAGGGGCAACCGCCAGCCACGCTTCCTAGAGGTAGGTTCACAGGGGTCTCCAGAGGGACTGGCCCCCCCCCTTGCCCATGGGGAGGACCCTGCTCATCAGCTCACACTTGGTTAGCTCCCCCTGACTCTGCCCCGTCTCATGCTCCCCCATCACTCATGTGCTTCCTGAGGTCACCTCCCCTCAAATTAACTACCTACTCCCAAGTCCTGGTCCAGCATCTGTTTTTGAAGGGATATAAATTGGGGACCAGCCCCTTCTCCCTATGGGTGTGGCCAGCAGTTCTCTGAGGGTAAGCCCAGCTCATTGCGAGAGGGTCCTTTCACCCATCGCCTCTGCGTAAAGCCCCATGGGGCTTCGCCACCGCCTCCAACACGCCATGTACAGAAAAGAATAGAAGTGGATAAAGAATGAAAACACAAAACAGCAACATGAAAATATAATTTAATCACTGATATTGTGGCAGAAAGGGTCATTCTAAACAATGGGAAAATATTTACCAAAAAAAAGAGTAATAAATGTTACTACATAAAATCTTTCAAAATTTCTGCAAGTCTGGTCATTGTTAGAGCTGAACAATGGTTACATGGGGATTCATTATACTGTTCACTGTACTTTTGTGGTGCTTAACATTTTACACATTAAAAGGTTTTTATTCACACTAAAAAATAAAAAGCAATTCAGGAGGTGGTTAAGTTGTCAAGAGTAAGAACATACATTCAGGAAAACTGGACACTAAGCTGCTCTTATACAAAACACTACTTGTGATTCGGGATAAAAATTCCAGGGACTGCATTACACAGAGATTTTTTTTAAATGCTGCACCTAATGTAACCTAAATGGAAGTGAACATGATGAACTGTATCAGTCAGGAGACATTACAGCATGCTGTGGTAACAAACAGCCCCAAAAGCTCAGAGGTTTCAAACCACAAAGGTTTATTTCTCATTCAGTTACACATCCATCATGGTCAGTAGGGGGCTCGGCTCATCACAGTCTCTCAGGGATCATGGCTGACATCTGGAACACTGCTAGTCACTGTGCAGGAGAAAGCGCTCTGCAGCACCTGGCACTGACCAGTAAATGGTTCAGCCTAGAAATGATACTATGTATCTGTCACTCCCACTCACAACTCATTGATTAAAATGGCTTGCAAGACACCACCCAACCACAGGGAGACATTATCATGGGCCCAGACAGTAGACAGCTAGAAATATTTGGCAAATGGCACCACTGACTACCACAAAGAGTGCAGAAAAACTGCTAGGTGCCTCAAAAGTTAACCAGTGATCCACTGAGGACAAACACACAAAGGTCAAAGATGTTTGTGAATAGTTAGAATAAAATAATTTCATGAACTGTGAGAGCAAAAAGGCAATATTTGTAAATCAATATATTGTTTTATATGGTTTTCAAAGTATATGTTTGTAAAAAAAATAATAGATTTAAGGAATATAGTGGAAAAATGTCTGCAAATCAAAATGCCATATACAAAAGAAAAAACAAAAAAGTGGATAAATACATATGCAATATAGTTGACAGAAATTTGGCTAAGTTCCTTAATATAGGAAGAGCTCTAACAAATCAATAAAAATAATATAATGAAAGAAAAAATAGGCCAAGGATATTATCCTTGAGGACTTGCTGCTTTGCTAAGCTATTCATTAAGCAAGAATACAAATGAGCAGTAAAGATACAAAAAGATAAACTCAACTGGTAGTGGAAAAAAATAGAACTCAAAACAATGAGGTATTATTTTTTTGCCCATCAAGTTGGCAAAACTATTTTTAAGAAATTATGACTCATTTCAATAATCACTCTAAATGTAAATGGATTGAACTCTCCAATCAAAAGACACAGAGTGGCAGGATGGATTAAAGAACAAGACCCAATAATATGCTGCCTCCAGGAAACACACCTCAGCACCAAAGACAAACACAGACTCAGAGTGAAGGGATGGGAGACAATACTCCAAACTAATAATGAACATAAGAAAGCAGGTGTCGCCATACTTATATCAGACAAAGTAGACTTCAAAGCAAAACAGATCAAGAAAGACAAAGACGGGCAGTTTATAATGATAAAAGGGACACTCCACCAAGATGACATAACGCTTATAAATATATACACACCCAACACAGGAGCACCAAAATTTGTAAAGCAGCTATTAGCAAAACTAAAAAGAGACATCAACAACAATACAATAATAGTAGGGGACCTCAACACGCCACTAACACCAATGGATAGATCATCCAGACAGAAAGTCAACAAGGAAATTATAGAATTAAATGAAAACTAGACCAGATGGACTTAGTAGATATATATAGAACACTCCATCCAAAAACAGCACGTTACACATTCTTCTCAAGTGTGCATGGAACATTCTCAAGGATAGACCGTATCTTGGGAAACAAAGCAAGCCTCAACAAATTCAAGAGGGTTGAAATAATACCAAGCATCTTTTCTGATCACAATGCTATGAAACTAGAAATCAACTACAAGAATAAAGCTGGGAAAGGAGCAAAAATGTGGAGACTAAACAACATGCTACTGAACAAACAATGGATTATTGAAGAAATTAAAGAAGAAATCAAAGATTATCTGGAGACAAATGAAAATGAAAACGTGCCATACAACTCATTTGGGACGCAGCAAAAGCAGTCCTAAGAGGGAAATTCATTGCAATACAGGCTCACCTCAATAAACAAGAAAAATCTCAGATAAGCAATCTCAAACAACACCTAACAGAATTAGAAAAAGAAGAACAAAGAAAGAAAATAAAATTATGATTCTAAATCTTGACCCACATGGGCTGAATGTGGAGTTCTTATACACTGCTGGTAAAAATATAAATTTTTAACAAGCTGCATAAAGAACAATAATATGGATCAAGAATCTTCATTAATTCCTTTGCACCCAAAATGACCTCTTTTAGAAACTCTGCCTAATAAACAGAAATGCAAAGACATACATAAAATGATGTTTGTTAAAGAACTTTAAAAATTGGAAACAGGTGCCAGCCCGGTGGCACAGCAGTTAAGTTCACATGTTCCACTTTGGCGGCCTGGGGTTCACTGGTTCAGATCCCAGGCACAGACATGGCACTGCTTGTTACCATGCTGTGGTAGGCATCCCACATATAAAGTGGAGGAAGATGGGCACAGATGTTAGCACAGGGCCAGTCTTCCTCAGCAAAAAGAGAAGGATTGGCAGCAGATGTTAGCTCAGGGCTAATCTTCCTCAAAAAAAAAATTGGAAATAGCCTTCCATGTATGTCTAAGAAAAGCAGTAAATAAATTATGGAATGGCTATTTAATAAGACTAATAAAAAATTATAGTGTAGAAGAATATTTAATTACATGAGGAAATGTTAATGATATAATAGTAGGTGAGAAATACATTTTAAGCAGGGCCACAAAAGTGGGTCTATTTTATGATCCCAATTTCATTCTTAAACCTGTTCTTATACTTTGCATTTATGATATAAAACCGGCAGGAATCCACATAATATCACCAGTGATTTTCTATTCGTGGAAGATTATAAAGAACTTTTATTTTCTTTTTCATAGTCTAGTTTCCAATTATTCTACATTGAATATGATTTTCATAATAAAAAATACAATAACTTTTTTTAAAGTATGTCAGTGTTGTATTAAGATGTCAAAGCGACTGGAAAATAAAAATTAGTATAACTGAGTGTTTAGGAAAAGGTGAGCTATACCAGACTTGCCTCAGCAGTATCTGCAGGCACATAACACCCATGGGCCAGGGCCTGGTCTGGTCTCCAAGTGTGCCAAATGCCCCTTGGGGTGCCAGATCACTCCTGCTTGAGAACCATAGTGGTTAAAAACCGTCAGTAGTGCCTGGGTGAAAAATTCTCATCTGAGGAACACTTTTGAGAGGCACTGATCTCTCTAAACTCCAAAAGACTGACTCAGTCAAAGATACAATTCAAAGTGGAGTCGCACCACATATTTAATTTCCTCTAAATGCAGCTGCCTTCCTGAAAAAAAAAAGTGCAAGGGAGAAAAGGCAACTCAACTGTAAAGAGTGTGCGCATGTCTGATTGCCATTCTAGTCTGAGCATGCGCTGCAGAATAAGGGCGGGAGACCCCCAGCAGACAGCCCACCCTCCGGGGGCCCAGCTGCCACCTACAGTGTGGACTCCTGGGCCACCCACTCCCTTCCCCCACCCCGCTCTGGGCTCTTAGAGAGAACCGAATCTCTGGGTGGCCTCCCATGCCCCATTTGGGTTTTTGGTTCTTCTTTCCCACTAGTTCCCTGGATAAAATTCCCTCTGTTGAACTGCCCAGTGTGCTAATATTTACCTGACTGAATCTCAGTTGATACAGTATATTTATTGGGATGCTGTTGAATTTAGAAGTTAACTTGGGGGAAATTCATATCTCTGTGATGCTTTCTATCCAAGAACATGATGTGTTGATGTGTCTTTCTGTTGGGTCAAATCGTCATCTGTGTCCCTCCATAGAGTTAAGTCTTATTTAGTGCTTAGCCCCTTTTTTTTCAGTTTGTTGAGTTTCTTCCTAAGTATGGTGTCCTTGCATGGCTAGCATAAATGGTGCTGCCACACAGGATTGCTGTGAGGGTTCAATAGTTAACGCGTGAAGTACTTAGAGCAGTCCCTGACATACAGTAGGCGCCATAGAAGTGCCTGCCATGATTATTATCCTAGTTTTTTCTGTTGTATCCTCCAACCGACTATTGTTTGAGTGTAGGTCATACTGGTTCCGTCTCGGTTTCTGCCCAGCTCCTGTTGAGGTCAAGCTGGGGGGCAGAACTGGACCTTGGGGCATCGTTTTAACAGAAGAGTGCAGCGTGCCGTCCCGATGGGTTAACAGACCCATCCCATAACCAGCTCTCAGTCCTCTTACAGATGCCCCTTCCCCACTCATCTGCCCCTCGAACTAGAGCTGTCTCCTCACTGGGCCATCTTCCCCAGAAACCAGGGACTATTGGGTGCTAATATCTCATCATTAGAAGCAAGGATATAATTATAATTCATGCGTTCTATCTTGCTTAGGAAAGCAAAGTTTACTACTATTCCCTAGGAATCAAAGTATTCTGTGGGCAAGTCTTGCAGTTCAATAGAAAACTAATGTTTGCTACTTACTGTTCAGAAACAGGCTGACAGTTGTTCTCAGCGTATCCGTGAGCTAGGCCACATGACACACTGCCCCAAAACTCGGTAGCTTGAAATAATAGCTATTTAATTTTGCTCATAAGTCTGCAGGCCAGTGGAGCTGTTCTGCTCATCTGGGCCAGCCTTGGCTACTGTCAGCTGGCCTCACTCGCGCATCTGTGGCCAGCTGGAGGGTGAGCTACAGACTGGCTGGTCTGGGATGGCCTCACTCACATGTCTGGCAGTTTGGCTGTCAGCCAGGGCAGTGGATTTGACCAGGCTCTGCCTGTCCTCAACCAGCAGGCCAACTCGGGTTTGTTCCCATGGTGCCACAGAATTCGCAGAGAGCGAGCAGAAGTGTATAGGGCCTCTGAAGACCTCCACTTGGAACTGACACAGCATCACTTTCCACCACATTCTCTTAGCAAAAGCAAGCCAGGAGGCCAGCCAGGATTCAAGGTTGGGAAGCAGACCCCTCCTCTTGATGCGCAGGGCTGCAAAGTCAAATCGTAAAGGGCATGAACACAGAGAAGCCTGAAAAATCAGGGTCACGATCCATCTACCACACCCCCTACACCAAGGTGAGAAGGCTTCTACCATTGATTTCCTTTTGCAAAGGTTGCTTCGTCTCACAGCAGCCCCCCTGTGGCCTGGTCCAGGGAAAATTCCACAGATGGTGGCCTCCTCATTTACACTGACTCACATCAGTTCACTTTCAGAAGGTGCCATTTCTTGACACTGAGCCCCGTCTGAGTCTGTTTGAGAGCACGACCCTCTGCACCTGCTGTCAGGATGATACGTTTCCCTCTCTGTCTGGTTTCTGAGAGCAGTTGCTTGTTTTGGTGGAGGCTTTCCAGTATAGATTTACCGAGACACGGAGGACAGTTCCCAGCTAGTGGCTGAATAAATCTTTGTTGACACGTCTCAGTAATCACAGGGTAATTAACTGCAAGTCAGGTTAGAAGTGATGGAAATGTCACGTCTCACTATCAGCAGGTAGAGAGACCCTGGAGGCCTCAGAAGTGGTCTCCCTTCCTTCAGGCATCTCCACCCTCGAACCACTGAGTCAGGACCCCAGACTCCTGGTAGCCACACAAGGACAGACTTTCTCTGCCATAGCTTCTGTCTGTCTTCTTCCCCTAGAGGGTGATGGGGTGGCTCTGGGCCAGGCTGTGGAGTGGGTGGAGGCTGCAGTCTGCTCCCCTCTCCACCCACACAGCCCTACTACCCAGGGTCGCACAAGGAAGCCAGAGGGAATGGCCACTCCTGGGTTATGGAGGTGCAGAGAAGATTCTTGAAGACAGGGAACGGGAAAAGACAAAGATAAGCACTAGGACCATGGTTTGAACAGAAGAGCAATGCTAACTGTAGGGATTTATGACAAAGTTTGCCAATCATAACCAATTAATATATGGTAATAACCATTGTGCATATTATTATGTGTTTAAAGTTATTTTTGCTGTATGTTTCACTTGATCATATTAGACTTTCTTCCTATATTTAGCGTTCCCCTGCACAAGTAAAACGTCATATAATGTTGTGTTTAAAAGGATTCTAGGGGTCAGCCCCATGGCCAAGTGATTAAGTTCACACACTCTGCTTTGGTGGCCCAGGGTTCACAGGTTTGGATCTTCGGCACCGACCTACACACCATTCATCAGGCCATGCTGTGGTGGCATCCCACATAAAGGAACTAGAATGACTTACAACTAGGATACACAACTATGTACTGAGGCTTTGGTGGTAAAAAAAAAAAAAAAAAAGAGTAAGATTGGCAACAGATGTTAGCTCAGAGCCAATCTTCCTCACCAAAAAAAAAAAAAAGGATTCTAGTATGATCCAAATAAGTAAAAAATATATATATAAAAAATTATACTAGAATCTTATATACATACATATAGGACATACATATATACAATCTGTAAGATTTACATATCTTGGCGTATAATGTGCATTTTATACCTAGAATATCTACATATATGTAAATTTATATATATAACAGATATACAACTATATATAAAATAAAAAATATATATCCTTTATATCCTATATAGCTAAGTATAAATGTATATATGTATAATTACATTTTTGCTGAAGAATGTATGAAAGGGCACATAAGAATTGGATAATAACGATTACATCTAGGGGGATTTTTCTTCCATTCTCCTTTCCATAAACTTTGAATTTTTTTTACCATAAGTGTGCATTATCTTTAGAGCTTTTTCAAAAAGCAGCTCACTGGTAAATTTTAAGGAGATTCTACCTCGTTATCCTCAACTTAACTGTGAATTCGGATGACGTTTTACATTGAATCCTTCCTGGAAAAGACAGACGGCGCCCTGCCAGGGAGATAGCGGTTTTCAAGGGCGGAGAGAAACATCCAGTGGCTTCCTTGGCTGCCGAGGAAGGCCGAAGCCTGACCCCTCGGGCGGGCCCCTCGCAGCCCCGGGCGCGCGCGGGCACGGGAGCTGGCGGCGTCTCTCCGTGTCCCCGCAGGGCCGAGGGGGCAAAGGCAGCATCTACGTGTGGGCCTCCGGGGACGGCGGCAGCTACGACGACTGTAACTGCGACGGCTACGCCTCGAGCATGTGGACCATCTCCATCAACTCGGCCATCAACGACGGCAGGACCGCGCTGTACGACGAGAGCTGCTCCTCCACCCTGGCCTCCACCTTCAGCAACGGCAGGAAGAGGAACCCTGAGGCGGGCGTGGTGAGTGCTGCCGCTGGCCCTCTGCCAGGCGGTGGAATGCGCGGCCGCTGTGCCACGTCATGCCGGGACGCTGTGTGACGTCATGGAAGGAAGGGACTCTCCCTCTTCCCTGAGAGACGTAGCGCAAGATCTGAGGGGCGATCCATTTTCTTCCAGGCCTAACAAAGCTTTGTCATCAGGGTAGAGATATATGATGTGCAAGTTGGGAGCAAGAACGTGTTGACCCCTTCCAGCTCCTTTGCCATAGATTGTCTTTCTTGTGTATCGCTTTGGCTTACAAATAATAACAGCTCCGGTTTATCAACAAGTTGGCCCAGCACATCACTTATAAGGAGAGTTAATTTTAAGAATTGGGACATCACAACCCTGCACCCATGTGAGCCAAGAACCCACCCATTTGCTACAGTAATTAAAATATAGCATCCATGGATGGGCTTTTCTGGATCCATAAACCCCCCAAAATTGGGCACACACGTGTATTTTCTCAAAGGAAGAGTGATGGTTTTAATCATATTTTAAAATGAGTCTATGATTAAAAAAACAAAAAGGTCAAGTATCACAGACTTAACCTAATTATTGCACTTTTCTGAGCAGGTCTTCCTTCCTGGGCAACTAAGTAAAAAGCTGAATTTTCCAGGTCCCTTAGAAATAAATATCTATAGAGCATAATGAACCTTTTGAATCTTTTCCTCTCTCTGGTTATTTCAGTCACATATCAGCCTTTCCTCAGACCTCCAAGCCAGGAACTTAGTAGGTGCTTCAATAATCCTGCTGAGTTACATCCTGACTGGCCACCCACCTCAGCTGGGGCTCCCCAAGGACAGGAACTGGGAACACAGTCCTTATTACCGACCAGTGCTTCAGTCTCAGATTCCAGCCTGGGCCCCACCTCAGCAAGCTGGCCCAGCTCTCATGGGAGTCGGGGGATCCCTTGACCTGGAGGAGACACAGAGCTTAGCCTGGCTCCCTCCGTGAGCCCTCCTGAGCTCCGCCTTGGTCTTCGGGAAGATGGAAAGTGTGCCAGCTCCTCCAAGCAGGAGATTTCAGCCCTCCACTCCTACCAGCTTAGGGGCAGAAGGGGAGGAAGCGCAGCAGAAGAGGCAAGCGAGGGCGCCCCAATCCCGTTCCATTTGTAATGCTTCGCCCCTCCCCCTAAAGCTCTACTCCCAACCCCCAAGGAGCTCCCAGTGGCACCAATTTGTCTTCAACCTTATCTATGACTTGCTTTCTACTTGGGCTGGAGAAGGGCCTTGAGTTCTCTCTGAATATTGTAATTTTCTCCAATAGATGCCTTTAAACGCCCTGATACGTTGCTCCTCAAAAGAAAAGGCCCACCTGAGGATCCTGCAGACAAACACAAGAGGAAGGAGAATTCCTGTGGTTTATACGCGAGCTTAGTGAAAACCCTGGCTCTCACAAACAGTCAAAGTGAAGTTTTCCTCCTTGTGAAAGTCCTTTAAAACCCGAGTGATCAGTCCCTCCAATTAAGAACAGTTATGAAAGTGATCACTCACATTTGTCGACGAAAATAATCCATAACCAATCTATAAATGAAAATTTGGGTGAGTTTATTCTGAGCTGAAATGTGAGGGCCATGGCCCAGGGCCTTTCTTCCCGAGGGAAGAAAGGGCACCAAAGAAGTGAGGTGTACAGAGTGGTTATATGCCCCCAAGCAGGACGTTTCACATGTGATTGAAATGTCCCTCCTGCAATAGTCACAAGATTGCGCTGTCAGCACAGCGCTTGATGGACACAGCAGGTAGTGGGTCCGCTATCTCAGAGGGCGTAGCAGGAGGCAAGACTATTATCTTTGAGCTGGGCAGTCACAGGTGAGCGCAGCAATCAGTTTCTAGCCTAAGGAAAGATGCTTAATCCTTAAGGAGACACCAACGTTGGGAGGGGGAGGGAAGTTGCACCTTTATCTCAAGGGACTTTGTTCTTGCCATAGGGAACATCTAAAGCAGATATACAGTGCATGCTCAACAGCCACGGTCAGGCCCTTTTGGAAAGACAAGGTCAGGCCGAATTAGGTTTATACCAAATGGCTTCCTCATATTCTCCAATATATCCTATTGCTTGCCATTTTTATTTGTCACGTTTATCACTCAATTCTCTTGACTCAACGTGTCTCAGAATCTCTCCATGAATTTTAGAGGTAGAGAAATATTTTCTTTTTATAGCTTGTCCTTCTAGCAAACTTTAGCTGAGCATGTTTATCCTTCCTTCTTTGGGAATGCCCCCTTTCCTTTGTGAAGGGAAAAGAAATAATGATGCGGTGACCTTTGGGCTTTCCAAGCTGCTCCCAGTGCCACAAAACTCACTATTGCATTGACTATGGTGGTGGTATTGACTTATCACTTTCTACCTGTAGTGTTTCCTATTAGGAAAGAAATGTCTCTCTTGTCCCTGGAATAACTGCAGATATGCTTCTCTCAACACTTGACTTGTTTTTATCTTGTGGACACTGTGACTTTAACTGATTATGTATTCCTTTTTGCATGGGCTACTAGGAAGCTCAGATAAAATGTAAGGCAAAATAGATAGACAGATAGGCTTTGAGCTTATCCTTACTTTCATCTTAATCTTCTTCAGAACAAGGCAGAGTTTAAATAAAAGAAATAGATAATCCTCTGCTCCGTATTGTTTTGGGGTTCAAAATAGTGTGACTTATTCACTCATTACTCAATATCTTCCCTTCCAGGCAACCACAGATTTGTATGGCAACTGCACTCTGAGGCATTCTGGGACATCCGCGGCTGCTCCTGAGGCAGCTGGAGTGTTTGCACTGGCTTTAGAGGCTAAGTATGTTTCCAGCTTGGGGTCAAAGGCCAGCTCTGCAGGGTGGACTAACACGTGTGTCTCCACCCAACATCAGGTGTCGAGGAGGCAAAGTGGGTGGAGAGCCTGTGAATAGTCTGGGCCAGTGAACTCTGGTGGGTGTTTCTAAAGGAACCACAGGCCCTAAGTAGTACACACACACCACAAAACTACATCCCCAGGAGAACACAAGACCCCATCACTCAACCACACCTATCAGCTACTTGCTCAGATACCAAATAGGAACATGTGGATATTTTTTTCTTCATCAAATTTCCCTTTATCTTCTTTGGATCCCTTGGCTATTTTACTCCAATAATACTCACAATCAGCTAAAATGAAAAAAAATTGCCAAGCTGGGTATCTAGAAAGGTATTTTAGAACATGGGACAGTCATGGTGCTGCCACTCAAGACTTGTTAACTTCTAACACTGAGACAAGGTCGGCAAAGTCACGCAGTGTAGACCAAGAAACAGGCTTTACTGGGAAACCTTCCAAGCTACAGTAAGAGGAGGCCATCCTCTCTGTTCTCACCATCCCACGGAGAGGCCACATATCGATGCTGCTGAGCACACCTCGGATGTGAGCATCAGCGAAGGTCCCTGCCCACTTGACACTCTGTCTTCTCCTAGTGCAGGCCAGAGGCTGGCCTGTGTTTGAGGAATGAACACACAGGCTTCAGGCACCGCACACGTGGTTTGAGTTCAGATGCCCGCTATGTAGGGAGTTGTCTGAGAATGTGGCACCAGCAACTTGTGAGAAGTTGGATTCAGGCTCCTGGGGAAGAGGAGGCGAGTCCCCGTCCCTGTCAGCTGTTGCTAGGCAACCAGACGCTCTAGCATCAATCTCCAGGCAGCCTTGCTTGTCTCTCTCCACATGTGCAGCATATTTTCTGATTTGCAAATGAGGTAAGAGTTGATTCCTCGAATAAGAAGGAACTTCAAAAGATTATCTGGTCCAGCCCTCTGCCTTCAAGCAGCAAAGGCAGAGTTATCCTTCTTTTACAGATAAGGCCCCAAATTGGGGATGACTCTGCTCTTCGGACCAGGCCAAACTTTGAGTCTTCTTATGAATGTCAGGTGGAAAATGTAGGACCCCAAGAGACAGACACTGGTCAAAACATTCCTATTAAGCACAGACACCAAAACTTACTCATGTATTATGTGCATTTTCTGAAGATGAAACTTCCTCTCAGTGCCTGTCAGGCCCTGGAGTCTGAGCTGCGTCTGCTCACTCCAGCTGGGAGCAGACCAACTGGGTAGCCTGCTGCCCCACTGAGCCACGCAGAGAACAGAGGGCAGGAGTGCTCTGAAAACAAGAAGACATTGCTGGGCTCCCTTTAAATCTAAGAGGGCAGAACCTGACTCAAAGTCTCCTTGGATTTTGGCAAGTAAAATGTCGCTTGATCAGGCCCTTACGCATACAAAGGGACAACCTAAATAAATCAAGGTGATGGAGTACGGCTGTGGGCTCTCTAAACAGATTCCCGGGCTCTACCCCGATTAGTCACCATCCTTAGCACATGCTTGCAGATGTCTATTGGAAGAGAATGCCGTCACCACTTAGGCACGCTTCGTTTTGGAGCAGTGGTCATCAATTTAATGCTCTCTATTGCCGTAAAGAGGGAAAAAATGATACCTGGCAGTTGGTGGTTCAAGCCCATCATGGGAGCCAGTCCTGATACTCCTCAGAACACTGTCTGCCAGAGCCCAGAGTTTGGTGCAAGTGATTTCTTAAGAAAGGGCGCTCAGAAGAGACCAGTGGGAAGTAGAGGGAGCAGGTAAGGGATGGGGAAGGATCCAAGAAAGGGCGCCACTTCAGAAGTTCTGGCCTCAGCCCAGGGAGTTCTGGAGTGTAAATTATGCCGGGCTGCCATGTTCTCGTACTGGTCGGTCATTGGCTGAGAGCCGCGCCTGGGGAAGTGAACGCCAGGGCGCCTCTGGCTTTCTGCACCTGCAGGCAAAGCGGCTCCAGTAGCCAGCAGTTAAAACCACTGGTCAGCACAAAATAGCCCCAAGAGAGAGTCCAGAGGGAGGAGGAGCGAAAGTCTCTCCATGAACAGTTCCTACAGCTCATCTCTCTTTATCTTGAGACAGGGCAACTGAGAGTCCTCAGTGACATGCGTGTGTGACAGCACTTGAGGGTTGTTGCCCACCCAGAGGTCCAATAAGAAAACTTTTCCAAAACAATTTGGATGCGATAAACAAATTATCCTGTCTAAATGTATGCCCTTCAGGACCGTGAAAGAGGAGGAACAACCACCCCCATGACTCCAGGGGAGAAAAGGGAAGCCATTCCTCTGTCCTGCCCGCGCACCACTTCATTGTTCAATCTCAGAAAGTGCTTTTCTGCCAGGTGCTTGAAAATGGCTCTTGAGTCACAGAGAATATTGTTCACATTTCCCAGTGTGACCAATATTAGAGAAATTTCAAACGATTTCTTTTGATGGGTGACTGCACCTTCAAATATTTGGGGTTCTCTCCATGAGCCAGGGCTTTCTGTCTGGTTCTAGAGGGCTGAGCTAGGCTGGAGGGGTAGATGTCATAAAGAGGCAAACGTTTGGCTCACGAGAACCATCCGTAGTAAAGTGGCCCACATATTGGACTAGAACAAAACACTTCTGGGGGATGGATTTTTTCATGTAAACTCTTTATTGAAGTGTAATAGACACAGACAAAAGTGCACAAATATTAGGTACAGCTCAATGACTTCTTACAAAGTTAACCATGTAACCAGCACCCACATCAAGAAACAGACCATTACCTCAGTACAGTATGTGCTGTTTTGCATGGAGGAATCTCCCCCACGCTGTTGTGTGTGGTTGTAGGTCATTCATACTCATTGTTGAATATTACTCCATTGTATAAATGGATATTTGGGCTGTTTCCACCTTGGGGCTGTTATGAGTAATATTGCTAGGAACTTTCTTGTACGTGTCTTTTGGTGAAGATATGGATTTCTGTTGGGTGTATATTAGGGAGTCAGAATGCTGAGTCATGGGGTATACGTATGTGCAGCTCTAGTAGATACAGCCAAATAGTTTTCCAAAGTGAGTGTACCCATTGACACTCCCTCCAGCAGTGTATGAGAGTTACGGTTGTTCCACATCTTCATCAACATTTAGTATTATCAGTCTTCTTCACTGTAGCCATTCTTATGAGTGTTGAGTGGAATTGCATTGTAGTTTTAATTTGCATTTCCCGAATAACAAGTGAAGTTGAGCCCCGAGGGAAAATTTTTCTTCTTCTTCTCCACAAAAGCCCCCTGTACACACTTGTAAATTCTAGTTGTGTGTCCTTCTAGTTCTGCTATGTGGGACACTGCCCAGATGAGCCATACTAGGTCCACACTCAGGATCCGAACTGGTGAAACTCTGGGGCGCCGAAGCAGAGCCTGCATACCTAACCACTCGGCCATGGGGCTGGCCCCTGTGGGGAGTTTTGAAAATGGTAGATCCACAGGTCTCAGCCAAGAGTCACTGAATACAAAACTTCAGGGATGAATGGCCCAAGAATCTGTCTTTTCAACCCCTGTTCTGAGGACTGCATAACCCTGCTGCTGGTCTGTGGACTGGGTGTATGGCATCCAGTAAGGCAATGGCTCTCAGAACCTATGAATCAGGGTGCTGTTGTGCTGAAAGTGAACAGCTAGACTCTGCCTCTGACTGGGTGCTGGCATTAGATCAAGATTGAAAACAGGAACTCCAAATAACAATAGCTAAGTAGAGACAGGGCTTTATTTTTCTGTCAGGTGAAAGATAATATAGAGGTAAGGAGCCCAGGGCTAGTGTAGGGCTGCCACTGTAAATCAGGGAATCCATCTCTTTCTAGATTTCTGCTCTTCCACCTTCATGTTCTCTAGCTGCTGCTGGAGCTCCAGCCATCATGTTTACAGTTCAGGCAGGAAAAGGGGAAGAGCACAGGAAAAAAAAAAATCCACCAGCTGAGTTAGCTCATCAATAAGTCTCCTAGGACTTCCTGGAATGTTGTAGCTCTGCTTCCCAAATATCGTGCCTTCAGGAAAGTGCACTTTTTAATTGGATATATGTTGATTTTAGGATTCAATATGGCTTAAAACTGAAAAACATTCATTTACTTTTAAATATCGTGACCATTACTTTACTTGGGAAATAGTATCTATTGTCTTCTAACTTACATCAACACTCAGTATATGAGACCGATTTTATTATTAATAATAAACTCTGTATTAAACGCCCAGTACCATGCTAGTTACTTTTCACACAGTGGTCCGCATTTCCAACCCGCAGCAAGCCTCGAAGGCCTACTCCCCATTTTGCAGATAGGAAGGCTGAGGCTTGGATTGTTAAAATGACTTGCCCAAGGTTGGAAAATGGCAGAGCTGGGGTTTAAACCCTAGGAAGCCTGGGCTCCAGCTCCGGGGTCTTTCCTCAGCCTAACTGTGGGACATACAAGAGCCGCCATCTGGGCTGAGGGTCTCACCACTCGTTTTGCCTGTAGTGACGGGCCACCAGGAACGAATTGGCTCTTCCTCAGAAACGATCCACAAAATCAGGTTTGCATTTCTTCGAGACAGGGTTTTGCCCACCACACTACACCAGGGTGTCATGTAAACTGGATTTTCATAGGAGTTAGGTAAACAGGGACTGTGGAGAAAATGCCAGCTTGACTTACAAATGCATAATTTTTCTGAGACTGGAAATAATCCAGATCTTTGAAATTGATTTTTAACCCTGTCAGAGTTTAGAGTATAGACTGAATTTTAAAGCTGAAAGGAAACAAATGGACCTTTTACTTCTCCAAACAGCTCTTCTTATGGACGACGAGAACAAGGCCCAGAGGAGGGAAGCTGCTTGCTCAGGGTCACACACCTTACTCTGTTCAGTTAAAGATCGTGTCCAATAAGCAGAAGGATTAAAACTCTGTTGGCTTCTAGAGTTTACCAGATGTTAGTAGAAGTCATTCCTCCAACTTTAAAACTGTGGCCTCTTTAAAACATTTCAGTTTTCAGTTCCTCTAAAGATACGTGTTCTCTCCTTAAATTCCCTTTGCTGTCTTGGTGATTAGGAGGAAAATGTTAATTGGGCCCAGGAGAATTTAATACCATAAATAGAAGAACTCTGAAAGACAATGGTGAGGGGCAATCTGCACAAATAGGAACTCAAAACAAAGCTCGATACTTGAAGCAGCGGGAGGTCGGCAGCAGCCATGGGCTTTGGCAGGTGCAGGGCTCTGTGGGAGATAAGCTTCTGCCTGTTGTACGTGGGCAAACCATCGTAAACACAGAATTCACCTCCAGGACCAGCTTCACATGGCTGAGGAAACAGTTCTTCCTCAGCCTCCCTGGTGCAAGCTTGCTCTTTGAGCCACTTGAGGCAGATCTCTCCCTGGGCTTCAGACTTGCTTTTCCAAGAACCGCACACTCTCCTTGCTCAAGACCACTGCCACATCAGGCCAGGACTTTCTCCTCAGAGTGCTGAGCCGCCTCTCTCTTTGGAGCCCTGGCCACTCCAGATGAAATTGTGACCATCCTCACGCCTCTTCTAGAAGCCCTGGGTTCAGCTGTGATCTCTGTGGGTGACCGCTCTGTACCAAGAGCCAACTGGTCCACCCTGAGTGGCCTAAAACCAGTCTACTAACAATTGAACATTTACCCCTGGAACATCACAGGGTCCTGTGAGCAATTGGACTCAGCCAATAAGCTCCCTGCCAGATGCACAAATGTCACAGTTTTTATTGATAATTCACCTGGGACCTGCTCATGCCTGGCCTTGTGACAGCTCCTGGGTTTGTTCCTTATGGTCATACCTGGGCCAGATTCCTGCTGCAGCCTCTCACTAGTGCGGTCCTGACTTCCAGTCGCACATTCTCGATTCCATTCTCCCTGGTGATGTTTAAAAAATCGGATCATGTGTTTCTGCCCTTACTGGCTGTCACTGAGATAAAGTCCCAGTGCTCTAATGTGAGGGACACCCTGTCACACTCTCCTGCCTCAGGTTCCTGGCTTTCCTTCCCTGTCACACTCTCCTGCCCTCTTGCACATTTTTTATCACCCACGTGATAGTTGTCTTCTTCCGCCTCTAGATCCTTCCTTCCAGAACCGTCTCTCCCCTAGGACCACCCCACCCCGCTTCCCTGTGCTTTCACTCACTCACTCCTCCTCATCCCTTTGACCTGGGCTTGAACTGTCACTTCCTAAGAGATCCTTGCTGAGCCCCTGGACCAAAGTTTCTCAAATTTCCTAATAATCAGAATCCCTGGAACTGATGCTTGTTAAAAACAGATACCCAAGCCCAGCCCAGTTCCACAGGTTCAGAATCTCCAGGAGAGTGCCTGGAAAGCTGCAATTTCAACAAGCATCCCCAGTGCTGCCCAGGTGGTTAGGAAACACTCCCTTGCATCAGGTTTGCTCAAGCTTTTGGTGCATATTGGAAATGCCAGATGCTTGGACAGCCCATGGAATCAACATGGCTGCTTCCTGTCTGACATCGTCATTTTGTTAATGTTTGTTTCACATGTGCAGACAAGGTTGTGAACTGCTGTCTTAGACCAATATTTTCAAACATCCATGTGCAGAAGAATGGTCTGGGGAGTTGTCTTAAGTGCAAATTCTCAGGCCCACAACCTCCAAGATGCCAATTCTGGAGAGCTGGGGTTGAGGCCAGGATTCCACATTTGTCACTACTCCCCACGTGATTCTGATGCAGTGGGCCTGAGGACAGCAGTCTGAGATCCCCAGCTGGGATAACATAGGGCTCCACTGTTGGCTTCCTTGGCATCTTGAGTTCCCCCATCGTGACGGTCTTTTCTTTTTAAATATTGAGCTGTCTGTCTGTCCCCCAAAACTATAAGCCCTGAGAGGACAGGGACCTCCCAAGCCCCGAACTAGCACATTGCCTAGACGTGGTAGACACTCAGTAGATGTTCATGGAATCGTTTCATTGTGTAGCACCTTACCACATCTCTGTGTCTTACTTTCCCTCCTATTATATAGAATATTTGAGGACAGGGAAGAATGTGTCATGTTACTTGTCTTATAACACTGAACACAGTGACCTTTAGACTGCAGACACTCTGTAAATGTATTTTTTATTATTTAGTAGATATCACCTAAAATTCTTGAGCTGCTATGGTAGCATTACAGCATAAAGCAGGTTGATGAAATACCTATTTTACACAACAGTATATTCTGTCAATTGCTCAGAAATTGCTCAAAAGTGGGAACTAGGAGGGACGCAGTTTTACTGTTCAGACTTCTGCAAATTGCTGAGTAGTGTCACAAACTCAGTTACATTGGGGTATGGATTATGTTCTGATTTATTTCAGAAGTGAGAAGCTCCTTGTTCTGACACCTTCTTTCTCTCTCATGGACCTCATGAGAATAAATCACGGAGAAACATCTGAGGGAGTCCACCTCCAAGTGTCAGGAAGCATAACACATTTTTATGGCAGAACTCCTAGCAAAGAAGAGAGATATTCCAGCTGCCAGCCAGCCCTTGGACCACCTAGAGGTCACCAAGTCCTCATTTGTCAACACTTCTGGGTTTAATGAAATCAGAATCCCCATTCCAGCAGAACACGGAGCTTTAGCCGTAATCAACTTCAGGAAGTTTCACACCATTCACCGGGGCCCTGGGGGCCATGTGTCCCAGATATGTTCTTAATTTTCTCAAATAAGCTTTGACCTTCCTTGAAGCTTTATCCTTAAAAGCTGAAGGTCTACATTTCAAGAGCGAATATGAATCATTAGCATCTTTCGGCTCTGATTCAGAGCTTCAAACCAATGAACGCTGCAAGTGTTGAAATGTTATCAGAAGAGTTATGTTGTTCCTAGTCCTTTGAATTATTTGCGCACAGTTTTTCCCAACTTTTTTGACCACAACTCTCAGCAAGAAACGAATTTGCATTACAACTCAACACACCACGCACACACATGCACACACATATACACCCCAAAATTTCCATGAAAAATAGCTTCCTATATTACATACAATGCACACAGTTCTTTTCTTCTTTTCTCTTCCGTTCATTTTTTACTGATGGTCCCAGGCATTAAATCACTGGTTCTCGACATTAGCTGTCTACTGGAATGACCTGGGAAGTGTTAACAACTCCCAAAGCCTGGGTCTCGCTCCCAGAGATTCTGATTTAATTGGTCTGAGATGTAGGCTGAGCAGAGGGATTTTAAATGTCCTCACCAGAAGATTTTAACGTGCAGCCCAGGCAGATGTCCTATGCAATAAGCTGATTTCTTAGCCCATAAATGAGTCGTGACTTGAAGTTTGAAAAACAGACACATTGAGTAATATTATAGACTAATTTCCAAAGACAATAGCATTTGCAAGCAGATTTGTTTATTCACTGAACAAACAGTGTGCCGAGGGCTGTCCTGGGCACTGGGCATACAAATATGCTGAAGATATTGTCTCTGCCCTTGAAGAACTGACGGCCTCATTTTCACAAGTGGAACGCACCCAAGTAGCCAACACCCAGATGAAGAAACAGAGCACTAAAAAAAAAGGAAAAGAAACAGAAACAGAGCACGGCCGGCACCCAGAAGTGCCCTTTTGTCCCCTTCCAGTCACCCCCACCCCAAGACTAACCACTAAGCTGACTTCTAACAGCACAGATTGGTTTTGCCTGTTTTTATAGTTAAACAGTTGGAAGCATACAGTATGTTCTCTTCTGTGTCTGGCTTCTTCAGGTCAACATTCTGTTTGTGAGATTCATCCATACTATTCAGAGTAATTATTCATTCATTCTCATTGCAGTACAGTATTCCACAGCCTATAAATACACCTCAGTTGGTTTTTTCATTTTACTGTAGATAGGCATTTCGAGACTTCATAGTTTGGGCCTATGAACATTCCAGTACATATGTCTGGTGAATGTATACACACATTTTTGTTGGATATACACCTAGGAATGGAACTTCTGGGCCATAGCTTAAGCATGTGGACAACATTAGAAGCTACAGCCAAACAGTTTTCCAAAGCACTTGCAATAATTTACACTTCTGTCAGCAAAGTCTGTGAGTTCCGGTTGCTCCACATCTTTGTCAACACTTGGTATTGTCAATCTTTTTCATTTTAGCCATTCCAGTGTGTTAGAATGTGCATCTGAAATAAATTTATTTAAGAAAGGCAAGATTTTTTTAATTGACATATATGTGTGTGTATATGTATGTATTTGTATATCTATGTATGTGTGTGTATATGTATATGTGTATATACATAGAGAGAGAGGGAAGCTCTAAACAGTGCATGGAAATTCTACCTTGACTTGGGGGACCATGGATGTTACAAAATCTTACCAGGGGTCTATGTCCTATCTTAGTCACCGTGTCTCTCTCCCTCTCTCCCCTGCCCCCCTTCCCCCGTGCCCTTGTTCTCGCACTCTCTCTGCCTCCGGTGTCCAGCCTGGGTCTGACCTGGAGAGACATGCAACATCTGACTGTGCTCACCTCCAAACGGAACCAGCTTCATGACGAGGTCCATCAGTGGCGGAGGAATGGAGTCGGCCTGGAGTTTAATCACCTCTTTGGCTACGGGGTCCTTGATGCAGGCGCCATGGTGAAAATGGCTAAAGACTGGAAAACCGTGCCTGAGAGATTCCACTGTGTGGGAGGCTCCGTGCAGGACCCTGAGTAAGTAAGGCAGCAATTCTTCTGCTGCATGTGGAAAATACCCCAGAGACAGCACCGTGGCATTGGCGACAGTATCAGATTCCCTCTGTGTCATCCTGAGATGTGCTGGATTTCATCCAGGGACAGCCAGCTTCCAGGCAGAGCTGTAGTATTGCACAAGTCCAGGGGGCGCCCTTTACATAGAGCACAATTGGGTAACTCAGGACCCCTGCTTCTAGGTGTGAGCCTGTATTGTTTTGGTGGTTTACGTCATTATTTTTAAGTGTACAAATCAACCAGTGCAACCAGCTCCCAGATCAGTAGACAGACCAGAACCAATATCCCAGAAGGCCTCCTGTGTCCACTTCCATCAGCATCTCCTCAAGAGTAACCACAATTCTTCTGACTCCATAGATTATTTTCCCTTTTTTTTACTTAATGTAAATGGAACCATATACTCTGTTCTCCTTTGTATCTAGATTCTTTTGCTGAGAATGATTCAACTATGTTTACTGAGTACTTGTAGTTCATTTATCCTCACTGCTGAATAGTGCTCCGTTGTGCAACTATAACATAATTTATTTATTTGTTCTACTTGTGGGGCAACGTAAGGGCTTGACTTGACCCTGAGTGAGGTAGACAGCCATCTGGAGGGACCTGAGGGAGGAGATCCCCACACAGAAACCCCTGGGCTGGTCACGTGTGCTTACTTCCCTTCCAACTTCCCAACACAGCAAGAGGACTGGACAATAAGGATCCCTCTTTATTTAATTTCTCTCCTCATTGGTCCATCAGAAGATGGAAACAGCAATTCTTATCATTATTATTTTTAATCGAGGTATGGTTTACATACAATGAAATGCACAGAACTTGAGTATTATTTGAGTTTCGATAACTGTATACATGTGTGTAACCACCCCCAGATCAAGTGATGGAAACTTCCAGGACCCCAAAAAGATTCCTCAAGCTCTTTGCAGTTAAACCCCACTCCCCACACCCCATAGACAGCCATTGTTTTCATTCCTGTCCCTGTAGATTAGCTTCACCACTTCTTGGACTTTATCTGACTAGGATCACTTGGTATGGATGCCTTTGTGTCCAGTTTCTATTCTCAACCTTATATTCGTGAGACCCATTCAAGTTATTGTGTGTAATAATAGCTCATCCATTCTCATTGCTGCATAGTATTCCATTGTGAGAATCCACCTCTGGGACTTATGTCATTTAAATGGTGGTAAAATCCATCTCTTTACCCCCCACCCCAGCCTTATTTTTGTTGGTCGTCCGAGCTTGGCCAGGATCAGACCTTTCTCGCAGTACAGCCTCCCCTCCACTCCCCTTTGGTCCTGGATTCTCTGCAGTTTTTGTAGTCAGTTATTCAGACCTGGACTCAAATCTTGATTTCATGCAACTGGACAATACTTTTGACCCCGCTGAACCTCTACTTGAGCAATTCTCAACTTTGTACTCTGGCCCCTTTGGGCATATAGTGAAGTCTGTGCACCCATCTCAGTATAATGTTTTAAATGCATTAGGTAAAATAAACAGGATTATGAAGGAAGCCAAGTGTATTGAAAACCAGTTGTAAAAATTTGTTAAAAAACAAATTTGTGTTGAAGTAATAGATGTCCTTTCTTTTATCAGCATATTAAATAAAAAGCTCCTAGTGGCAAGTCTAATGGCCACGATCATTTCAGAGCAGTGATAATGACCAAAATGCTGCTTCAAGGTGCCTTCGATGACTGTCATGGGATGTGGAAATCTCTGGGCTCTATGGTGACAAACTCTGAGGAAGTGCTAATACCACTCTGGCATGTGTCCTGCATTCTTAATCAAAGGAGAAGCTACATTTCCCTTAGAAGTTAGTGAAAATTAATAGGTAGGGTTTTTTCCACCTGAGTTCTTGTACTGCCTGAATTCTTCCCTGTGGGCCCCAAAATAAGAGCCTCTTCTCTCTTTCCTCACCAGTATAATGGAGCTAATGTCCCTGTCGTCACCAGGTCGCTGGGAGACTTTAGTGAGACAACAAGCACTAAGCTGGGAAGTAGTGGGCGCTCAGTATATGTAACTTTGTCTTTCCCTGTCGTCCATGACTTTAGACACTCCTCGGTCACACCCATGGGAAAAAGAAAGATTATAATCTCCTAGAATTTTGGATACAATAATTACCTGATTCTTATATGAATTCAAAACTATGTATCTTTGTGACCTACTCCGTCGTCCCGTGAGTGAGCATCCTCGTTGTTCACTTGCTGAGTTCCTGGAAAGTGGCACCAAGTGGCTATGGCAGAGCTGTGTGTATGTTTCCATGGACCAGTCCCTGCTCTCATAAAGCGTGGTTCCCATCAGGACTGCATGGGGCAGTCAAGCTTCAGCCCAAGCCCTGTAATAACTTTTTTAAACCAGAGCTGCGCAAGTCCCACGTGACGGCCTGTCATAAAAATAGTTGCTCTGCAGAGTTCCTACCAGTTTTCCCGAGGCTGCCACGTAAATACATTATTTCTATTCATCCCCCTACCCCTCTGCTGAGGAAGACAGGCTTCACTGTGGCCCAGACAGGTTGGTTGACTTGATCAAGTCGACAGTGGCTGTAAGTGTAAGAGAACGAAAGAACTAACTTTTATTGGGCACCTACTATGTGTCGTGTGCTTCACATACATGTAAGCTTCGCAGCCACTCTGTTGTTGAGGGTGTGCCTCACCTCACACAGTCAGGGTCTGAATATTTCACGGTATTAACAACTGCGTGTTGTCCGGCATTGTCTCAGGGAGAAGCGCCTACTGTGTGCTGGCATGAGGCCTTTTACATACACTGTGTTCGATCCTCGTAAGCCCAGGGGGTACGTGCTATCATTGTTACTTCTTCCAGGGAAGGAAGCTGAAATGCAGAGAGCACAAGAACGTGCTCCGGGTCTCAAAGGACAGACCAGGACCTGAGCTGAGGCCCATCTGAATCCCAACCGCAGGCTTTTTGCATTGTATGACATTGACCTCAATGAGCTCCTACTGTGCATTCAGGGCCTACATTACGGGAGCCCTGCTGTGACCTGGGGAGCATCCTTACAGGAGAGAGGAGGCTCGGAAGATTCAGGGCACGCCAAAAGTCACTCAGCTCCCAGCGGCTGAACTGCGATTTGAACCCAGCACTCCATGCGGACCTCCACCCCGGGAGGGGCCTCGGTGTATCACAGTGGTTCTCCCCTGGAGCAGGCAAGGCTCAGCAAACCCAGAAGGGCCTGGGGTTCTTCCCAACAACAACTCCCCCAGGGACTCTGAAACATCCCCCTTACAGGGTCTCGCCTCCCCAAGCTCCATGATGCTATTCCGAGACCCTGTCACTGCCGGGGCCTACGAACGGAGTGACTGAACTGAGACAAGATAGGGAACCCCCGTCCGCATGGGGATTTGAAGAGTCAATCCTACCCACCATGACAGACTTCCCCCAAAGGACACATGAAATGTGTTTTCCCTGTTAGAGTTCAGAGTAATTCTGTGCGTGATTTGAGAAGACCAGGAAACTTGCTGCAGTGGTCGAAATGGTCTACGTCTGAGTGTCCAATACAGTAGCTTGTGGCCATGAGCACTAGAAATGTGACTAGTGTGACTGGGGAACTAAAGTTTCCCTTTGGTTTCATTTTACTTATTTAGCTTTAAATAGCCACATGTGGCTAGTGGCCACCATGTTGGACGGCTCAGCTCTAAGGTACATCTGGAGTTACGCCGTAGAAGGAAGGATGCTAAATGGCACACACAGAACAGAAAGCGCAAAGTGAACAACACCAACTCCGTGAAGGGGTGTGCAGAAGCTGAGCCTGCAAGAAGCCTGGGCCAGTCCATTTCACAGCCGTGCCTCCCCTGGGGCTCCCCTCGCTCGGTCCACTGCTCACTCCCCACACAGACAACAGGACGCTCCAGCAGCCCAGACGTCCGCGGGCACAGAGCTGCACCTGCTAAGAACGGCTCTGGGCCAGTCACTGGGCTAGCGCTCTTCTTCCACTATCTCATTTAACCACAGGAGGTGGGCATCGCGAGTCTCATTTTACAGGTGAGAAAACAGGCTGAGAAAGATGAAGTTGATGGCCCTAGTTCACAGAACCAGCAACTCTAATGTCCTAACCATTCTACCAAGCCACCAGGGCCTGGATGCTCTTCCCTTATTGCAAAGAGGGACTTGCCAAGAGGGAAAGGCTTACAGTGTTTATGACTTTACAGATGCCCGGCCAGCAGCAGGTGGAAACTGAAACGCCCCTCACAGGCAGCGCAACTGGAGCAGGCTTTACAGTTGGTTGCACATCAGCTGCATTCACAATTAACAGAAAGGTGGCATGGTTGCCGTATTTAGAGGAACGGTCAGCTTGAAATGCACCAGGACCCTCTTAGTCAAGGTACACGTCAATATCAGACCTTATTTTCTGAGATTGCACTGGACAAGAAGGCTGGATCTCTACTGACACTCAAGCTCTGTGTATTTGTGTGAGAGGGAGGGAGGGAGGAGAGAGACGGAGAATGTATGCTGAGATGAATGACAACTTATCTCCCAGTTTCTGAGTCCCCCTAACATTCTGTCATAACCCACATAAATATTGAATTCAGAGCCAGAGGCAACACTGGAAATATGTTGGCTGACTCCGTCATTTTACAGTTAAGGAATCTGGGGCCCAGACAAGCGATGGGCCCAACAGCTTACAACTAGCTAGGAACTTTATCCGATATCAGCGGCTTTATTTCTAATGAAAGGAAGACAGAGAGCTATTTCAGTTGGGCCTTCCACGGGGCCAGGGACCTAGTCTGTCTTGTTTACTGGTGTATCCTTAGTGCCTGCAAAGTCCTAGCACTTAGTAGACACATGATAAATATGTTTTGAATGAATGTTCAGCCAATATCACCTGGGGACAAGGAAGATGTCTAAATGGTGGCAGTAGGACCAGCAGACCAGCCAGGGAAACTCGCGACGGAGCCCAGCCTTGTTGGAAGGGCTCTGCAACCCCGCAGTGCCCTCTACTCCCGCATCCACCCCACACC